AAATCTATGGGAAAATTGTTAATTTAGTGAGACGTTGGGGAAACATGTATTAAACATGATTTTATTCCTATTGGGTAAGTTTACAAGGTCCTTCAAGGTTCGCTGAATTTATTGGGATCTCATTACTTTAAATGATTAAACACTAGCTCCCCTATTGTTTTAGTAGACGTTAGGACTTAGGAGTAGACCTGGCAAAACGGGTATGGACCCGTGGGTCGGTCCGTACCCGGGTAAAAAATATAGGGTATGGGTTCAATAAATTAAACCCATTTTTTTGTGACCCGTACCCGTACCCGGTCCAATAAATTATGGGTCATACGGGTGAACCCGTGGACACCCGCGGGCACCCATATAAGCCAAGGCTTCTGTTCTGTTTTGAACTGAATGAATCCCTAAAAGTTTTTAATTTTTTATCACAGACTTCACGCCTCCTGACGCCTCCCTCTCACGCTTGACGCCTCCCTCTCACGCCTCCCTCTCACAGAGTCACAGTCATCACGAATCCCTCTCACAGAGTCACAGTTCACACTCACGCGGTCACGCCTCCCTCTCACGTCTCCCTCTCACGCATCTCATCAGTCATCAGACTCATCACGAATCACGGTCACGCCTCCCTCTCACAGTCTCACTCTCATCTGAACATCTCATCTCAGATCTCTCAGTCTCAGATCGCGGCCGCATCGTCACTTCGTCATCAGTCATCGCCTCATCAGTCTTCTTCGATTAATATTCGTCACTTCGTCACTTCGGTAACGAAATAGAGGCTCAGAGAGAGATAAGAAGCGAAGTTTGGCAAAAACAGGTTTCTTCAAAAACAAATCCTTTTCGATTATTTTTATTTTTATTTTATTTTTTTATTTTTTTGGGAAGCGAATGAATTTTTACTCGAATGAAGAGTTTTTAGGAAGAATTGTTTGAGTTTCTTTCATAGTTGCTTATGTTTGGTTTGGTACAGTTTGATGGACTGGTTTGGAAAATTGACAAATAGGTCCCTTTGTGAGAGAGGTTTATGGTTAATTTGATGAGATTTAAAGAGGTTTGGGGTGATCTTAGGGGAATTTATGATGATTATCATAGTTTAAGAGAAGTTTTTGATGGTTTTGGAAACAAATGGGATCTTTTTTAAATTCGTACTTTAGTGATAATGAATTTTTTTTTGGAATGAATTTTGCTTGGTTTTCTTTTTTGTGGTTGGTATAGTTTTATGTTTCAGTTTGTGCTTGGTTTTAAATTTTGTTGTTTGGTTACTTAGAAAGTGGAGGAAAGTTATGGAAATGAATTGGAAAGAGTAGAATAGCAATGGATCTTGTTTATGTGTTCTCTTTTATGGGTTTGTGATGATTGAAATGAACAGAAAAAAAAAAAAAGAAAAAAGACACTAATCGAAAGTGAGCGAAATTCTTGAGCAGATGAACTTTAATTGTAGTTTTGTGATTAAGATGATCATTATAGGTCCTTGGAGCGCAGACTTTGTTTGGTTGCTTGGAAAATGTGGAACGTGAAACACAATGAAGTTGTAGATACCAATGTGTTCTGCTGATATTTTGAATAGAATTGCAAATCTCATTTCAGCAGAAGGGTGTGTGTAAGTTAGTTTAGTTAGTGCGGTTTTAGTTATCTTTAGTTTCATAATGGTGAAAAATCTGGGATTTCAAGTTCATGTTATCAGTAATTAGGGACTATTATAATTTAACATTAATCAATCTATAAATAACTCACTTATGCATAATTGCTACATAGAATCTATTATGAAATAGACCAATTGTAACATGTTAACATAATATTTCGTATATTTATTATTTACATTTATTAATATTTGTAGTTGATCATTGTTTTGTAGATGATGAGCTGAAAGATGATTCGGATGATGATTTTGATGTGCCATTGACTGATCTCGAGACCGGGAATCAAGAGACTCTATCACGCCACTGTGGAATGAACATTGCTATTCTAAGAATGTTTTTTTGTGAATATTGGATTATGTATTTGTTTATTTTAATTGGTATTTATAGTTATTGACTATTTGGTTTGTTTATGTGTAATTATGTATTAGTGATTTTGTATTGTTGTGGTTGGTATTTGTAGTTTTGTATTATATGTTATTGTTTGTTTATGTGTTATTTGTTTATTTGGTTCATATTTGTTTATATTCTTAATTGAATTGAATTTAGAGTAGTTGATTTAGGGGGTGTAAATGTAAAAAATTAAAACTGCAGGAATTTTGGGGTGTAATTGTCATAATTGAAAACTGTTAGGGGTGAAACTGTTAAAACTGAAATCTGGAGAGAGAAAAAACGGGTCCACCCGGGTCCACCCGTACCGTATAAGGTAGGGCACGGGTCCAAAATATTGGACCCGTATATATCGACCCGTATAAGGCCCGTACCCGTTTTACCCGGCCCGTACCCGGCCCACCCACCGTTTTGCCAGGTCTTAGTTAGGAGGGAGGTAACTGTTATATTTTTAAAATAGTGGGTTCTACAGAGTTTTAGTAGACATAAGAAGGGAGGCTACTGTCATTTTTTTTTTTTTTATATAAATAGTGGGGTTAAGCCTTTCCTATCTAATGCTCGTCCAATGAAACTCAGACAAGTAAGCGGCCAGCATTAGTCTTACAAACGTGGTACGTAGAGAACAAGATTTTGGATTCTATAGAAACCCTAATTCAATTGCAGACTTTATTCAGAACTCTTCCTGGATTAGCCTCTTCTCTTTCTCTCTGTTTGGTTGCCAAGAAACTCTAGGGGTTTCGTTTCTACTCTTTTTCCTCAGCTTTCTTGACTGCCAAACAAGTACAAAATACCCTAATAAATTATATTAAGCCCATTTTTAATATTTTGATAGTAAGTAATAACGTCTAACCGATTTTCTCAAGTAATCTTCATTTTGTTCTATAATTTTTACAGGCCTAAATTCGTAGTAAAGATGCAAGATACTTTCAAAATTACCAAAATAAATGCAGATGGAAAAAAATTCGACAAAGGTATTTGTGTAACTTGTTTTTATTTAATGTGTTTTTACTCTTTCGCTATCTTTAATTCAAAATCCATTTGATCTTTCTTTCATGATTTGATCTTATTGTTGAGTAATCTAATAAGCACGAACGCTTTAATTATAGTGTGCTCATTGGTATTATCTTTTGTTGTAATTGTGATTAATATGCAGGCTTTAGATTAATGAAATAAAGATGGATATATTGAGTGAATTATTTGTGAACCTTTAGGCTTAATTAGTGTTTTGCAGTTTATGTATTATCAGAATTTAATTTCAATGATGGTTTCATTAGATAATCATAATTTTTTTTGTTAATTTGTGATCTATTGATTCTGTATATGATTATGGATATCCTCTATTCTATTATCAATTGAAAATAAAGAAAAATAAAATAAATAACTATAGGCTATGATAACAACAGTTACATCTTTCCTTTCCCTTTAAACATCAACCTCATCCTATTGTATTTCATACTTTCTTTTGATTTTGTTTGAGTTAATCTTCGTAGATTTTATCCATTTTTAATGAATTAATTTCCACTGTAAATCTGGCTTATAAAATTGGAATTTAACATATTGTAAAATCAAAGATGATTTCAGTGTTAATTAAGCAATTTTTTCAGAGCTAGATCGCTTTTCCGGATTTTTTCTTTTTTTTTTTTTTTTTGTAGTTCATCGTCATGCTTTATCAAAAATTATATATATTTTTATCATTTTAATGGACTAAATTTGACCCTTTACTTACATGTTTATTAATTAGATTAAGTTTATTCTATTTGTTTTGCCTAATTGTTTCATGCTCAGAGTATCTTGATTTTGTTTGTGTAGTGTCTCGCATAGAAGCTGACAGTGAGAGCCTTGAAATGTACATGCTGCTTGATATTAATACTGAGATTTATCCCGTTAAGGAAAATGAAAAGTTTGTTGTTCTTTTAACTCCTACCATCAACAAAGATGGTTCAACTGTCTCCGAGTATTACTCTCAGGTAATCTTCCTCTCTTAATTTGCATTAATGATCTCACATCTCATTGAGCTAACATGACGAGATCATTCAATAAATATTATGTCTTATATATGTGACATTTTTTTAAAACCATCCACATGGTTATGTTATTTTTTGGGAACGTCTTCGATTGAAGAGTCTTAAAAACTTATAAGGCATTTAAAAACCGTTTTCTTTTAATTTTTTACTTAATGTAGATAATTAATCTCTAGTTCTATGAAAAATATATTAAATATTAATCTTATAAAATGTTAGTATGAATGATAGTGCACTGATCAAATGCTATGGTTAAGATAAAATCTTGATTTATTTCTAGTAATAAAGGAAGAATTATATTGTTTTTTTTTGTTTTTGTTTTTGTTTTTTTTTTTGGTGACCGAGAGTATACGATCTAGCTTGCGCGCACATTGACTAATCTTCTAGGGTCTTAAAGTTAACGATTAGATATACTATCTAGTGACCATCCCTGTTAGCATGGAAGAATACCCTAAACTTTAATCTTTTAAATTGTAATCACAGAAATAAGAAATTGATTGTGAGTTACATTCTTTTTATTGAGTCTTATTGAATGTTCTGCTTTCTATTTAGTAATATTTGAAATTGTGTAACCTAATATTAGCATATTGTTACAATTTTATTTCTATTTGCAGAGCGGGAGAGAGACAATAGCAGATAAATTTGAATACATCATGTATGGGAAGATATACAGGATCCTAGAGGAGGGTTCGGGAGCAAATATTAAAGCGTATGTATATATATATCGTTATTATTTCTCGAAACTTAACAAATATAAATAAACATTCTGAATCTTGATATGAGCCGGATTTGAATCTAAGACTTTATTGTCTAATCTAATCCAATCCAATCCAATCAGTTGAATTAAGCAGTTCGCATTAGTACGAAGTTGCCACACTTGATGTGCGCTGGATTCGACTATATGATTTTTTATACAAACTTAATAAATTCATCTATTTATTATATATATATTTTTTAATTTTTTCAGGGAGATATATGTTTCGTTTAGTGGGCTTTTGATGATGCTGAAAGGAAATCCTTCAATTGTCTCAGACTTTCAGCTTGATCAGAAAGTATTTCTCTGCATGAGGAAGCTGTGAAAACCATGAAGATTAAGCTCCTTTTTATCACATTCTGTTGTTTCTTTAATTTTCTGCAATGCTGGATTGTAACAATATTTTATATTTTATAATTTTATTTATTTATACCGTATTAATTCTATCAGAAGCTAGCCAATATATGTATAATAAGTGGGTTTCAGTTTAGTATGAATAATGTTAAAAGAGCTTTAAAATTTTAAAGTAAAATATTATTTTGTTATTTTAAAAAAATCAAATAAAATATGTCTTAATTTTCTTTACTTAAAAAGATAACATGTATAATTTATCATTTTAACATTATAATATATGTAATTAAGGTACATTTTAAGATTTGCTTCGCCTTCATAATATGTGCCATTTATGGCACATTAATTATTTTTTAATTTAAAAAGTTATATAAAGGGAGAATCACAATTTCCCACCCAAGCTTTGGCGTAAATATTTTTCCACCCAAAAAGTTTGAAAAAAAACATTTTCCCACCCATCATTAAAATTAAGACATTATTTTTAACGGTAAAAGGGCATTCTCATCGCCTTGCATAATATATATTATACAATTAATGTTGCTTACACCCCTAAATTACAAGCATATCATAATTAGCTTCACCAATTGGAAAATTACATTTAAACCCCTTTCTTCAATTTCAATTTATTTTATTCAACTTTTTTAAAAAATCTGAGAAGAATAAAAATTTGGCCGGCATGTATGTCGGCTAACTACCGTCGACAGGATTTGGGTTCACTCGCCGGTGGCGAGTCCTGCAACACTGTTAGTTCCGTTGGATAGATCGTCATAAGAACTGGCCAGTTAGCAGAATTTGGGATTCTTGATTAGCTTTTCTGCTCACCAAATTCTCCTGCACACCAAATGTTCGATGAATTACCACAAAGATTATTGGCACACCAAGTATTGGATGAATTACCTCAAAGATTATTTGTAATAGGGTATTTAGTTTTAAAATTCAGTAACTTTCACAGTTCTATCATATCTGAATGAAAGAACAAGATGATCAACAAGGAGAAGTTGTGATACATAAATATTACTTTCCTGATTCTGAAAAACCATGAAATTTATTGAAAACGACATAGATTAAAGCCAATAGCCAAGATGCCTGTAGTGCCCTGAAAATTTTATGCATGAATCATAAAAGAGAATAATATAGATTTCAACTAGGCCCAGAACCACAAGGTTTTAATCAAACCCAAGTCATAAATCTAAGAACTATCTTGACAAAATCCTAGAACTACTAAAAGAAATTTCAGGTTAGTCTGAATTTTTAATAGAAGAGCGAAATTATATTGAATATATTACATATCACAGAAAGACTTCAAGTAATTCTACTAAACTAGGCCTTAAGTAATTTCTGAGAGTTCTTTTTTAGGAAGAGGACCAGTTTTTCTAAGTGATCTTCTCCATCTTCATTTTGCCACAATATATTTCCTAGAGAAACCAACCCAAAACTTTCAGAAAACAAGGCCAAGGCCAGAATCGACAAAGCTGAATCCATGGACACCATTGAGATTACGAAGTAAAACTTGCGAAGTGCTTCAAGTTGTGGCTTGTTCCTAACCAACGACACACCAAAAACACCCATGAAGCAAAACATGACGGAAATCATAAGGGCATCGAAACCACATGGTTTACGAATGGTTTCTTGATTATTCTCATACTGATGGTGAAGTAGCAGTAGAAGAGAAGCAGCAAGTATGGAAAAACACAGATTATATTTTTTCCAGTTGGTCATTTGGATTTCTTGGCTTGAAAGAACTTTGATAGATTTAGAAGAACCTTGGATTGGAATAACTTTAAGAGCCATCTTTGCCTTCTAAATATGGTTTGATTTTTTGTCAGTGTGTTGTAGATCCTAAAATCTATGATTACAGAATGATATTTGATCTTGTAAGGTTGAGACCACTGACAATCCGTTGACCTTACACACAAAGAAAGCAAGCACGAAGCTTACGTAAAACACCAGTGTGGTGTCTAATTAGAGAATAGAGCTACAACGAAGGTGCTAGTTCTCAAGAGCAAGAACTCTGGTTGCAAGTAAGAGGTATTGAGATTGAATACTTTGTGAGAGGTAGGATCTCTTTATATAGGAGTCACAAGATCTTCGAATTCTAGTAGGACTTTGAGTCCATAATAGTAGAATCCTAGTCAATAGGAAATACTTGATCTACTTCCCTTTCTAGGATTGAGAGTCCTAATTCACATAAGATATAGGATCTTTAGTGAATTAGTATAAAAACCAAATAGGAAGTAGATATATTAGTATTTTAGTGGAATTATGGGCCCTTAAAGGATATTACGGAACAATGGGTCTGGCCCCGGATAGGCCAATGATGAGGCCTAATCTGGAGAGAATCTGGGTTAAGGTCGTGACTCTAGCTTATGATACGAACCTTGATGCAGGCCCAATCGGCCACGACCTTGGAACACATAGTAGATGTTACATGGTTGGGCCTTATAAGGCCCAAGACAATTTTTGGCTCATACATGTGTTAAACTGAACCTACGAGCTATAATCATCTTTGATAATTCCTACATATATACTAACTTTAATTCTTTTCTTAGGATTGTGCTTTGGATAAGTATAGTGGCTCATCATGTTGGAAACTACTCGGCACAATACCATATTCATTTTTTAGCTCGTCTAACTCGACTAGTAATGATGTTTACGCCATATCACTTGCTTCTAGCTCTAATGAAGCGAGCTGTTCATATAATGTGGAATCATCAGATTCTAGGAAAGGAAGGGAGTATATTCAGGATGAGATTCGAGATGAAAATTTGACAAGCACTATTATGTTGTTTGGGCTTAAAAGTAGGGAGCGTAGGCATGGAGGTATAGAGTATGAACCATTGCATAATAATTCTCATGAAGCAAGTTGTTCGTATAATGTGGTATCATCTGATGATAAGAGAGAAAGAGACCATGTTGAGAATCAAATTGGAGATTTAGAATTGTAGCATGCATCATCTCTTAAGAGCACAAAGGTGTCCTTAGCTGACTCGAAAAAGGGGACTACCATCCATTTGCCTGGAAATATAGAGTTAGAACCACAAAGAAATGCAACATTTCTTGAGAGAGAAAGAGACCATGTTGAGATTGAAATTAGAGATTTAGAATTGTAGCATGTATCATCTCTTAAGAGCACAAGGGCGTCCTTAGCTGATTCGGAAAAGGGGACTGTCATCCATCTACCTAGAAATATAGATTTAGAACCACAAAGAAATGCAACACTTCTTAAGAGAGCAATGACCTTCTTTCAACCTGGAAATTAGGAAGCATAACCACTATTCAATCACTGTAGATTGACAGAGGCAACACTTGTTATGGCTGTCCAATTAGCTCCCGATCTCTTGACACATGGGTTTGATGAAAGCAGTTTATTACATTATGCTAAAATTCTCAAGCAATTTGCTACCATTTGCAATGCTATGACGTTTCTCTATTGCTTCTGTGGTATCTTAGTTTGTGACCAAAGGCTTGAAGTGTAGCAAGAATCATTACAAGTGTCGGCTATATTGCCCTTGGATTTGGTTTTGTAGGGATGATAGGGATGACTCTAAGCGATTATTTGAACCTTTGGTTCACTACTGCAACTTGCGCAGCCCTCCTCCCTATCTTGATCTTTGAATCGGAGATATTTAATTAGGTTTGGGATGTCTTCTTTCTTTTAATGTCACATACAAACTACAAAATTTTTGTATATACGTTTGACATGACAAATCAATGCCCTTTGTTTGAATCATCATATAATCAAACATATGGCAAAAGAATATAAACAGCGATAAGAGAGCCATTGGATTAGATTAATCATAGGTTGCATTCACGGGGTGGATCCATAAATTTCTGTTAGGGTGGGCCAAAATAAAACCTAATTGTACATTAATATTTCTGTTAGGGTGGCCCAAAATCTAGAAATTGTACATATAATTTTTTTTTTTTAAAAGTAGTAATATCTGCGCGGATTTATCCCCCAATGGGTAGTAATGCTCACTAAGAATTTTCCCCAAATGTACATTTTGTTTATTTGAGGATAATTATTTATTTCATCCCCTTGATTTTTTTATTTATAGGAATATAGAAAATCTTTACATTTTATCTATCATAGACATTAACATACCATATATACTAACATTTACATATTTTCGAACAAATTAAAATTGAACAATTATTGAGAATGGACAATGGAGTAAGACTAGATGAGTTTATGGAATCATATTCTATTATTATAAAGTATAAACTATAGAATTTACTTAAATAAAAGCTAATTATGTAATAAAAACATGTCAATTTGAGAGATTAATTGTTTAAGTGTAACAAATTAGTTTTATACTTATATTCTATTTTAGATCCGTTAATTGTTTTCTTTAACCTGGTTTTTTTATTAATATCTTCTTTCAAGTAATTTAGAGGGTATATAATGTATTTAATTCAAATCAGTTTTAAAATATAATTGGTGACTTAAATCATGGGATGATCATTTTACACAAAATCTATTATATTATACAAAATTTTATAAAAATTATAATTAATTAATTAATTGACGGGGCTGGTGTAGGGCAGGGTCAAGGCAGGTGCGGGGCAGGTGCGACTGTGGGTGCGGGGAGCTGTAATATAATGTGGAATCATCAGATTCTGGGAAAGGAAGGGAGTTTGTTCAGGATGGGATTCGAGATGAAAATTTGATGGGCATTATTATGTTGTTTAGGCTTAAAAGTAGGGAGCGTAGACCTAGAGTTTAAACCATTGTGTAATAATTCTCATGAAGCAAGCTATTCGTAAAATGTGGTATCATCTGATACTAAGAAAGAAAGAGGCCATGTTGAGAGTCAAATTGGAGATTTAGAATTGCAGCATGCATCATCTCTTAAGAGCACAAGGGCGTCCTTAGCTGACTCGAAAAAGGGGACTATCATCCATTTGCCTGGAAATATAGAGTTAGAGCCACAGAGAAATGCAACATTTCTTGAGAGAGAAAGAGACCATGTT